TATGATTTCACTCATATGTGGAATATAAACTAACACAGACTGAGAGAACAGTTTGGTGGTTACCAGGGGGAAGGAAGTTGGGGGGGTGGGCACAAGGGGTGAAGGGGCACATTTATATGGTGACTGACAAATAATAATGTACAACTGGAACCTCACAATGGTATAAAGTTTTATGACATCAATAAAAAAAAGTTAAAAAAATAAAGATGTAATAATACTTCACTGTGAAACAAACTAGGCAAGGGAGTCCTGTAACGTAAATGATAATCACATTCTTGACACCAAAAATAAAACCCTGAGTAGGAAAAATGACTTAAGAGAGGCACGTATGTTAATTGTTTCCATTACAGTCTGTGACAAAATTTGTGCTGGTGTGTCTCCTGACGGGGCTGTTCACAGTGACACAAACGCAACTATCTATAAGACATTATAGGGCCGGCTCCGTGGCTTGGCGGTTAAGTGCGTGCGCTCTGATGCCGGCGGCCCGGGTTTGGATCCCGGGAGCGCCCCGAGGCACCACTTCTCCGTCCAACGTGAGGCCGAGTCCCACGTACAGCAACTAGAAGGATGTGAACCTATGACATACAACTATCTACTGGGGCTTTGGGGGGAAAAAAAAACTGAATAAATATAAGACATTATAAAAATGGACAATGCTGTTTCTCCAAAATTTTATTTTAATTTAAATTACAGGGCCAGCCAGGTATTCTGATAAGAAATTTACTTTTCCTCAGGAGAAAGGAAATGCTTTCATGGCATTGTTAACAATTGTATACATCTCACCTTTTTTTTTAAGGGTTAAAAATCACATTGAGTAACTGACTTATAGTAAAATTAAACCTTTATAAGACAAAAAGAAACCACTTCCAGTATAATAGTTTTGGTAATATGAATATATTAAATGATCATAACTTCAAATGCAACTTTTCAACTTTGAATGTTTTAATATTTTTGTTTAAAAACAAAGTAACCCAAAAAAAGTCTTAACTCTCTCCAGATTCCAACGCGCTAGTAACACATCGATGTTTTCTCTGACATGCTGCACCCTCACTGTTTCCCACACAAAGGGCTCTAGTGCTGATGTCACTGCCAGCGTGGAAGCTGTTCTATTGTTCCAAGTTCTAAGAACCAGCTCGGCGAGGAAACCTTTCCTCCACTTGGTGTAACTGATGTTTTCACACTACATCCTGATACGTGGCACTAGACCACGAGAACCAGAACATTTCACCACAGCCACGTCTGCCTTCCTAAACATTGGATATTTTCGTTTCAAGGAGCTTGGATTGCTTTCCCTACTTCCAATAGAAAAACATGAATTATTTTACACAGATTTCGGTAAAGACAGCCTTGGAAAAACCAATTATAATGTAGACTGTCATCTTAAAGAGAATAAAATACATCTGTATTTTCTGGAGCTATTTTTCTAACTGGCGTTCCTAGAAGGAGGTCTTAAAACCTGCTGAAACCTCACTTGGGAGTCTTGTTTTACTGGCTGATACATAATTCAGTTAGTAAGAGAGGCTAGCAAAGGATAATTATATAAATTTCTTAATCAGCTACAGCCATGCTGAACTTGAACTGGCAAACTCAGATTTGTAAGTTGTTAGTTGTGATCTTTGCATCACTAAGATGAACAGACACCATTCTAAGAACTTGACACTGATATATTCTAGGAGAAGTTGTTCTGCCGTGGTCACAGTAACAAAAAGTGGTGCAAAATCAGTTACTTTATAAATACTGATAATTTGCAGCATTAAGGAACAGGACGTTAAAAAAAATAAATTTCCCCATAGGACACCTATGACTAGAAACTCTTCTTTTCCTAAGAGAAGCCAAGGTTTTAATTATTCAGTTTCACAACTATTGTACTGGATTACTTACTCTAAGAAAGAAAAGGTGCTCTACAGAGGTTCCCACACACACAAAGAATCGGCATTAATTTAGCATAATCGGTATCATTCATAGACCTGGCAAACTCATGACTCATTTTAAATGAATAAGGCCAATATTATGCAGGAAAGTGTAGCTGATTGAGTTCCAGGTCTGTATTTTAGCCTATCGATGGCACCCCATTAGATAACTGAATACAAAGGATTGGTTTACTTTTTTTTCTTTTAATGCTGTGATACTTAAATGTTAAATCAGCATTTTCATGTGATCTGAAGTATTTCAATTACATACGAGCATTCATTTTTTGCAAAAACTCAATATTAGGTAATAGTTACATACTAATACAATAACATTCCTCTGCTGTACAAATTAAATCATTTAAAAGAAATGAGCATTCTAAGAATTATATACAAAAGAAACCTGTAAGCATTGTTGAAATGAAATGCAAGATGTCGTTGCTAGCTCTACTGTTTTAAAATACCTTCAAAAAGTAAAATTAACAAATACCCTTCAACATATCCAGGTTTACAAGTCTCAAGAAAATCAAACGTCAAAAAATTCTAGAAAGCTGTGAAAAGCATATATACATTTTCCTTATGACCTTATGAAGCTTCACACTTTTGAGAAGTTGCTAAGTTTCAGTATCAATTTATTCGCATGCCAACTTTATCCGCCCCAAAAGCTCACATCTTGGATACAGTTCCCCTCTGATTCCAAACACAGCTCTGCACAATCTTCCTTTAGTGAAGGCAACAATCTTACCAAGGATCCGCGCTCAGATCTTTGACAAAGATAAATGCAAACACGGAGGTGTGATCTGATAATATCAATGCCCTCCTTCCCTAAACCACTGTCATCCATGCATTTGCCTTCATGAACCCAGCCATGTTCAGAACTCCTACAGCCAACGGAGTCTTTGAATTCTGAAATGACACAAAGATCAAGAAAAAGTCCACGTGTGCTCTAGTGTGCAAGAAAGCAGCAGCTATGTTCTCCAACTTGGACTAAAAAAAAACAAAAAAGGTAAAATGAAAAACCGTTCACTTAACAGCAGATTAGTAGTAATGTTCCTCATGAATCGATAAGAGTGCCTGATGCTGAATAGCTAACAGCAAATGCTGAATTTGGATTTAATATTTTAGATGTTTATTGGAAATTAGGCTTCTTGCTGAGCTGGTCTCTTCAAATCCCTGATCTGTTTAACTAAATAGGTCTTCTCATCGTTAAATTGTTCGTCCTCGGTCCTGTCATTCTGAAACTTGCTGAGGAACTCGATGAGTTTGGTCTGGTTCTTGAGGAGGATGTCTAGGATGGGCTGCGTCTTGTTAGGATTGGCTACAAACACCTGCACGGAGAGAAATCAACATCAGTCACAGGGAAGAACCACACAGAGTTGCGTGTGCTGCAGTTAGCAGGGCACACGCAGTACACAACCAACATTCCTTGGGGCACGTGGTGAAGTCAGGAAAATTACTCCAGGCTTCTGGTTTAGAAGATCTTATTTTACAATTTGGAAAAAAAAAAGAATTACATGTTTTAGCACAAAGAGGACTGACATATTCATTTATGCTCTGAAACTTAGTAGCTGATATTATATATATATATGGACTTTGATTTTAGGATAAAATGGGCAGAAATTATTTCTGGGCACAGAAGGTCAGAATGGATTTTAAGAATAAAAACCTCCATGTAAAACACTAAGAAATGGATTCCCCTTTACTTTGTGATTAATAATCTTCCATGCCAAAGATAAATGACACTCCTCCATAAACAAACTTTTCTTGTTTCCAAATACAAATGGTACACCCTGTTTCTGGGTCTATTTTTCTGTTTAAGTGTTGTATCACACAAATATGAAAATTAACTGAACTGCACTGTATCACTTAGATGACCAAAATGAGGCTAATAATATTTCAGAAATTTGTAAATGAAATGAGACTAACAACTCTAGAGGAAAACATCGTTCATGGTTTTAGTACTCTACCTTAAAAACGTGAAAGGCCTCAAACTGGATGTTACGACTTTTGTCTCGTAGAAGGTTCATCATTAATTTGAGGTTCTCTGGTTTACTGATGTATTTTGTCATAATTGTGAAGTTGTGTCTGTCTAATAGTAGTTCACCGAGAAGCTGAGGAGACATTTAAACAATTACTCTTACATTATCATTAAGATTTGAAGTAAAACCAAAGTTTACAAAAGAATTCATTTTACAATCATCATTGTTAAGCATAGAATATTAGTAGGCACTCAAAAGACTGATGAGCTAAACTGAATTATGACCTAAAAGGCTATCGAGTGCCCACTCTCTGCCCCTTGAACACCCACCTTTCCTTTTGGGGTTTAAGCCTATGGTGGGTTGGACACTGCTCTCTGAAGAGGACACTCAAGGTCCATCTGGCCCAGAATCTGAGACTGTCAGAGCCTCCTCTTAACATATGCATTGTGTCATCTCACTAAAAAGAAACTATCCAAGAAAATGGTCAGAAGCTAAGTTATTGATAATTCCTGTTTAACTAACTACAAACTTCAGCTTAATTTAAAAATGTTATTTTTTACTTGATTTATCTGAACTTCATGGGACAAAGGGTTTCATGTCCAAAGTTTTCCATACACTTACCCCTAAACATGCCAAAGTTGTTATTTTATCATATCTGACTCAGAAAGATTTATAAAAATGAATACTTTTCTGTTCCTTTTTAAGCAAAGTACCCTGAAGATACTCCAATTTTTTCTTAGTGACTCCTCATCATGACTAACAACATCAATTAAGGTAAATAAAGTCTGTGCCTTCAGCACTGAGTTCTACAGAGTTGATCATACCACATCAGCCCTTAACTTTTAAACTGTCACTGCTTGTTTTGAATTTTTGTTTTTCTGAAACCAGCAGTCACCTCTTCATGCTGTCAGTGTGCCAGCTTCTAGTGGAAGTTGAGCGCCAGGCAGTGTGACCTGCAGTGGGGCAGGAGCCAGGCTGCGGTCCTTGTGGGCAGAGGCAGAAGCACAGCGGTGGAGGGCCTGGCCTGGCACCCGCCTGCCTGGGTTTGAACCTGGCCCCCTACTCCTTGTGAGCTATGCAACCCTGCGCACGTTATTTAACTTCTCTGTGCTTCAGTTTCGTCTTCTGCATGACAGGAGTGTATTAATAGTACCTACCTCTCATACGAATGTAGTAAGAAATAAAACCGTGAATCGTGCAAAGCACATTAGATCTGAGTCTAAAGAGAGACACGGAGTGGGGTTCAAGGGAAGGAAAACGCATGAATAGAGCTACTTCAGCGTGGTATAATTGCCTTTGTTAATTCCTTTCTGGGTTCCTGGCTATGTTCTAGATACCTGAAGTTTCTAGATAACTGATCTCTAAGTAAGTAACACATTATCAAACTAAACAAAAAATAACTGGATGTGCAGTAAAACAAATCTATTCTAGTTAGGATTTATAAAGAATTTATAGGAAGAATTCAAAAGCACAGAGAGGCTTCACAGCAATCTGAATCACAAAATTTATAACTTTCAAGGTAAGAAACAACCAGTATTTACTCTTTTGAAGACTCAGAAATTAGTATTAAGTATGTGAAGGTTTATAGCTTTATTGGTGTTCATTTTCTATCACAGAAAGCAAAGAAATACTGAAAATGGCTCATTTCAGTTTGGTTGTCTAGAGGAGGATGACTGGCAATTCTTTCAATTTCTTTGAACATCAAAATTAAAAATTGGAAGTCTTGCACAGGGAATACAAATTTGCTGGTAAAATAAATATAGGAATAAATAAATGCCAACGTGGCTGCAAAAAAGACAGTACTAACTAACTAAAATCCATCTTAAAGTCCCATTGGGCCTCACAATTGCTCCACGTGCTCATGAGGCACTAGGAGCTAAAGGGAATTACAGGAGGGGAGGACGTGATTCATGCCCACCACCAGATCTCACACAGGGCCGCCTCAAGCTTCCTTCTCAGGTTGGTGATTCTGAAGCGGCAGAAAGGTGTTGAAAGCCCTTCTCCTTATCTAAGCAGTCCAAGAGTTCAGAATAAGGTCAAAGTCTACTGATTTGCCAATAAAAATTTTTCCCCCTGTGAGGAGGTCCTAGCCCTAGAAGCTACTATCCGAGGCAATCTTGTCTGGCCTCCTTGGCCTTAGAAGACACTGACTCCACGCAGCTGCTCACTCGGCGTGACTGCTGGGGAGAGCAAGACACCTTGGCCCTTGGATAAAAGAGGTCCCTGGCACAGGTCCACTTCACTCTGAGGATCACAGGGGATCCTACACTACATTACACTGATGTACAGGGAGGAAAAATTCCTTCAACAGCTGCCAGAAGTATTGCACCCACCCCTGAAACTGAAGACTGTTCTTATCAGCCATTAGAGTCACCAGCAATCATCTAGCTGGCAGACCAGGAGATGGGGATAGGCTAAGGATCCCCGACACTGGACTGGGGTGGCTGGGAGGCCAGGCTCAAGCAATAGCAATGAGTGGAAAGCACCCCAGCCTGACTGGACTATTTTAGTAGTGACACATTTCCAAGCTGTGGCTATGATTAATCCCTGATTGTGGGAGTTACAGCCTTAAGGGGAAAGAAGGAAGTAGGTGGCCAGATGGAGAGGATTCTTTCGGAAGTCTGGATGGTAGAGAGTGTTCTCATCAAAAGGCACAAAGTTAACAGATGCTCCTGACGTCCTTTAGTCAATTTCCATAGAAAGCTAAGGTCCTCTGGAGTGATCTCCCCATGGTAGGAGGGGAAGCAAGAATGAAGTCTTGATCAGAATGAATTCAGACACCTCTCAGGGGAAGAACTCTGGGCAGAAAAGAAATTTTTTTATTTTTATTTTTTTTGAGGAAGATTAGCTCTGAGCTGACATCCGATGCCAATCCTCCTCTTTTTGCAGAGGAAGACTGGCTGTGGACTAACATCTGTGCCCATCTTCCTCCGCTTTTTATGGGACGCCGCCACAGCATGGCCTGACAAGCAGTGCGTTGGTGCGCGCCCAGGATCCGAATCTTCTGGGCTGCCGCAGCGGAGTGCACGCACTTAACTGCTTGCACCACCAAGCCAGGCCCAGAAAAGAATTTAAAGTGGACCTGTCAAAAAATATAAATGGAATTATAACTTTTTTTTTTCAGAATCTTTTGTGATTCCATCTATAGGTCTCGTCAGGATGACTTAGTGACACAATGAGGGGTGTGCATTTACTAACTGCAGTAAGAATTTTCTGGAGCAAGAATCAGCAGACTTTCTGTAAAGGGCTAGAGAGTAAATAAAATAGGCAGTGGGCTGGATTTGGCCCATCGGCTGTAGTTTGCCAACCCCTGGAGTCATAAGTCTCAAATTTAAGTTTCCAATGGAACTGTGTATATCCTATTTTGATACAGAGCAGCCGAACCTGTCTATGGTCCCTAGTTTCACCACTCGCACCCGTCCCCCTCCCCACACAGCAAGCCTGTGCCATTCGGGTAGCATCCTAGAGGGCCTTCATCTAGTTGATACGAGTCTAGGTTTTAAAAATACGCTTCAAAATCTAAAATACTGCATTGCTAAAAGACAAAGTCCTCTTCAAAATTTTGTATCTTCCACTTTGGCATCTCTAATTTACAAGACGGTGGGCAGGGGCCCTGTGTGGACCACTGCTGAACTCCATTCCTTTCCACAAAAATCTTGACCGTGGACAAATGTATTTTCCCCCTAAAGGTCTAAGACCCATACCAGCATTATCTTCCTTTCCTCAAATCTAAAATTCAAACACAGGGTGAAGAGAAATTAACTACATAAAGTCAATGATCCATCATACCTTGAGTGACTGTCTTTTTGTCACATAATTTTCCGAATGAAGTAACTTCTCATACTCACTGAAGAACTAGGAGACAAGAAAACACATCCGGGTTATTTTTTTTAAAAGATTGGTAGATAACACTACAAAGTTTGAGTAAAACTTCTAACACTGCAAAGTCCAATCGGTGCCCAAGCTCGCCTCCTCCCATCTGTTTCATACTCTTCCTCTCATGCGCTCAGAGACCCTCAGGGTGATGCGCGCTGACTATCTCCATGAAGAGGGCTCCTGGGACCGACCCCCTCCCAGCTCTAGCCAGGCCCACAGACAGCTTAAAGCTGGTCCTCTTCCAACACCCAAACTCCATATGCACAAAACATCACTCCCATTCCCCCCACCGTTTCCTCACTGCTGAGCCAGCTCTTATTTCTTGGTGTTAGATGAGAAATTTACTTTATAGACGAGAACTCAACCAGTCCAAAGTACAACCACCAAGAGAAAAGTTACCTCTTCTTTCAATGCATCAAGCAAGGAGAGAAAATAATTAAAAATAGAAGAGAGGAAAAATTCAGCCCTGTGTTAAACAGGTAGAAGCCTGAGAGAAGGTAGGACTTGGGCTCAAACCTGAGTAATGGGAGGGATTTCATTTAGAAATGAGGAGGAGAAAAGAAATTCTTGGGGGATAAAAAGGGAAGAACACATGAGTGAAGACCTGGAGGACGCAAAATGCTACAGATGTAAGAACTGACAAGGTCCACTAGATTCACAACACGGCGCTCTGGAACGGTGTCACTGGAATGGTGAGGAGCAGAAGCCGGATTACAGCAGGGAAGTAGGAAATGGAAACGAGGGACACACAGGGGCCAAGGCCACACTTTCAAGAAGTTAGGAGAGAAGGCGGGTTAGCTTTAAGATTTACACACACACACACACACACACACACATACACACGTTTTGTTTTAACTATGGATAGGTTTTAAAAGTTCCAAAATTTTGCAGTACTAGTGTGACTCTGTTGGATATCAGTGCTTTATTGAGGTTTTCCATTGGCTGTGGTGGGTGGCAGACGAAGCCTGCTTTGCAATTTGTCCATGCTAAAACTATTAGTGCCTATGCTTTATGATGGGTCCTCGTCAGCCATTCATCTGTGGTTTAGAGGAGGGATTGGCAAACTATAGCTCACAGACCGCTGCCCGTTTTTTATAAATAAAGTTTTATTGGAACACAGCCATCCTCATTAATTTATTGTAAACGAATTCTTTTATGTATTGTTTCTGGCTGCTTTCACAGTACAACAGACAGGAGAGCTACACAGACAGTATACGGCCCACGAAGCGTCAATATTTACTATCCGGCCCTTTGTGGAAAAGGTTTTCTGACCCTTGGTTCAGAGCTAATCCAGAACTGCCTGTGCATTACTTCTTCTGCTCACCTCTCGGCAGAGGTGGGATGGTCATCTATTTAGTATGCAAGCAAGTTAGACTTCTCTCTTTTCAGAGAAGGCTGTTAACCCTACCTTCTCCTCAAATGATCATCAAACCAATGACCAAAACAATTGGATTTGTCTTTAATTAGTAACAGAATATCTACACCTCAAGTTCTTGACAGAAGATGCAAGTTAAGATTTTCTGCCGCATAATTCTTAGTTGTAAGCGAGTTCGAGGAGAACCGCCTAAGAGTATGTATGCATTCCATGCATTCCTCCAGATATGTTAGATTTTGTCCCTGGATCAGGACAGAGGATGGGCACTATTCGGGCTCCTCAAGGATGTGCTCTCAGGAACTGCACTTTAGTTCAGCATTTTATTGACTGCAGAGTCACCTCGAGGACTGTGTCCACTACGTGACACTGTAATTTAATTCCCCTCTAAGAATGCCAGTGGCAGAAATCTGTTTCAGGTCCTAGGACTAGAAAAGGCTGTTTCTTTTGAGCAAGAGGCATCAATTTGGCTTTACAGATACTGTGATCTTTTAATAGATTTTGTTTCCCTCTATGCTTTGGTTATTAGAAAGCTCAGAGCCAAGGTATGCAGGATTTTAGAGCCTATATTTTTGTATAATAACCTCATCTCTTGCTTAAATTACCCACATCTCCCTACTTCCCTTCTCCCTCCCTCGATCTGACTGCACTGTATACATTTCTGTTAGCTGCCTCACATGAATTTTTCTAAAATCCTGTTATTCAATGTTATCCATTAATAACATGTAAGAAAATATTTTATCGCAAAATTAAACCAATGTCACTGCAGTAAATTTCTTGGAAATTAGTTTGTATCTTTGGTAGGCTTTAAATTAAGGTACGAGTATGTTACAAAAATTTGAGACCATGTGTTAATAAAATAATACAGCTGTTTATTAAATGCTTATTGTTCCAGGCCTCGGGTCATGCACTTGACACACACATTCTCATTCAATCCTCACAACCACACAGTAGTAAGTTACTGTTCTGAGCCTTCTTTTAGGGCTGAAGGTCCTGAAGGCACAGAAGGTGAATGAAGGCAGCTGCCCAAGGTCTGGCAGCACACAGCGTGGGACCTGAAGCCAGACTCCAGGCTTCCGCTGCCACGGCCCACGTGTCTTAACTACTGTAGAAAGGCACCAACGAAATGACCATGCTGTCATTTTAAACCAGCAAACACACAAAAACGAAGACACCCATATCCAAATGCACATGGGCAGAAATAAAAATGACCAGCAATGTTTAAGCTATTCATGAGGCTATTTATAAAGGCCCTATTATGTACTCAGCATTGCGTTATAATGATACTGGGAGTGGGAGGGAAAGACAGGGAAAAAGGAACACATAAGAATTAGAAAGCATAGGTTTTGCTTTTATAAGATTTTATAAGAATCTTATAATCTAGTTGAAGAGCAAAGTGAACAATGAAGTATTAACAATATCTAAGATTTCAAAAATTCAAATGACGAATGGAAGAATGAAAACCTAAGCCAAATCTTGTGGGAGAAATAGGAACTTTAAGTGGATTGTTATTACTGTATCTTCTCTAAGAGCACCTATGAGATCTTGGACAACGTGTAAGTTAAACTAGCACGGCGTAAGGACGCGTGCATGAGCATGGTGGAGAGCACAGCTGGCACGTGGTGGAAGAGAACATCTGAGACTGTGGCCTGGAGGTTGCAGAAGGTCAAGGGCAATCAGGTTATCAGAGCACTCAGGATCGGTTACAAACCTCTGGGCCCTCTATTACCAAGAAGTCTGACATCGACTCAAGCTGGAAGGGACCTTACTGCTGGGCTAGTCCAATGTCCTCATTTTACAAATAAGGACAGACTTCTGAGTCCCCCAGTGGTCATGGCCTTGGCTGTGGCCACAAGGAGTAAGCAGTAGAGCCAGGGCAGAACTGGGTCCTGCCTCCCCTAGGCTAGTGCTCTTCTCACCCTATCAGCTGCTGCCTCCCTTTCTCGCTATTTGCAGGCAGCAGGAACGTGAGCCACTGAGGGAAAGGAAGGAAGAGTCAAGAAGTCAGATAATAATTTTCCTTTTATCTTAACTGGAGATTACCATTCAGCAGCAAAGTGCTTTATTTTCCTCTTCTAAAGCAAGAAAAGATGCAAAGTGCAGTGTGTCAATCAAAAAGCTAAAGTCTGCTTCTGACCCAGTCACACACTACCTTGTTTCAGTACAGAAATGACTACAGCACCTTTTAAAAACATTATGCATGCAAAATAAACATTCTGGCACAAAATCTAATCTAATTTCTAGTAACAAAACTGACAATTTGCTATTTCACAAGAGTATTTCATATACTTACTCTATCATAATGCTGTTCCAAAAATTCTGCACTGAGCAATTTATGTCTTGTAAGTAAATCCTAGAAAAAGAAAAAATATATTTTTAGAGTTGTTTTGCCTTCAAGTTCTTTTAGAAAAGTGAATCCTAAAACATTCTGCGCCATTTTACCTGATAAAAACTGTTGTTAAAAATTTCTATACTTAGGGCTGGCCCTGTGGCTTAGCGGTTAAGTGCACGCGCTCCGCTATTGTCAGCCAGGGTTCGGATCCGGGTGTGCACTGACGCACCGCTTCTCTGGCCATACTGAGGCCACGTCCCACATACAGCAACTAGAAGGATGTGCAACTATGACATACAACTATCTACTGGGGCTTTGGGGGGAAAAAAAGGAGGAGGATTGGCAATAGATGTTAGCTCAGAGCTGGTCTTCCTCAGCAAAAAGAGGAGGATTGGCATGGATGTTAGCTCAGGGCTGATCTTCCTCACACACACAAAAAAATTACTTAAAAACATTTGAGCATGAATTATATCAAAAATGTTGATTCTATATCAGGGTAAATAAAATCAATAATCTGAAATGGTGATTTAATGACTATGAATAGTCCCGTGTCTGTATCTATAGCTCTTAGAAGGAAAAACTAAAAAACCAACATATAAGGGAAGGGAAACATAAACTCAAAGAAAGGGAATAAAGAATTGAAGTGAGGACCGGCCCCGTGGCTTAGCGGTTAAGCACACGTGCTCCGCTACTGGCGACCCAGTTTCGGATCCCGGGTGCGCACCGATGCACCGCTTCTCTGGCCATGCTGAGGCTGCGTCCCACATACAGCAACTAGAAGGATGTGCAACTATGACATACAGCTATCTACTGGGGCTTTGGGGGGAAAAAAAAAAAAAGGAGGTGGACTGGCAATAGATGTTAGCTCAGGGCCGGTCTTCCTCAGCAAAAAGAGGAGCATTAGCATGAATGTTAGCACAGGGCTGATCTCCCTCACAAAAAAAAAAAAAAGAATTGAAGTGACACAAAAGTAAACAGTTGTGGTAAAATGTCAAATAGAATACCGCTCCTGGTGGAGAAAGAGGAAATTTCTTTTATTAGAAAATGTATTGGAGGTTCCATTTTCTTCCTCCTAAATTCAATTACATTCAGTTTCGCATCTAAAGCAATCTTTTGCAAAGGTAGAATGTTTTTTAAAAGCCCCATCATATTGTAAACATTAGCTCCTAAGTAAGCAGAATAATGCTGCAAAAATGTAGAAACAAAAATTAGTATGACCTTGAGTCCAATTCTGCATTACTATGAAACAGAGCTTATGCCTCACACCATGGATATTCCTGGAAACAACTCAAGAAGGATCATGCATTCAGAAAATATCTACCATGTGCCAGGCAAAGTTCTAGGTGCTGGGGCTACAAAGAAAAAAGATGTGGTCCCTACCTTCAAGGACCTGGAAGTTAGCAATGGATCAGCCTTGGTCTCACCAGGTGGGAACGAGAATGGGGACACATGACAGCAGGAATGGCCAGTCAATATTTGGTGAATTAATGAGTAAAATTCCTTTAGAGCTGCCTACTGGAGAGGCTGGCGCCAATAATCCCCTTTCTCTGAAGCAACTTTTCCTAACTTGTTTTCTTTGCAGTTTATATTTGAAAGTTACCCAGGTTACAATGAACTGGTGTTTCCTGCAGTATGTCCAAGGGTGATACTGGCTCTAAGCGCTCTAAGAAATGTCCTACGGCCAAACAGATGTGGAAAAGTGCTACAGCTCTGGTGCCCTCATGGGGATGCCCCCGGTCTTGAGAGATTCTGCAGGGAGCTCTTTTGCCGCCTACTTTGTTGAGGTCCTTCCCAGAAAGGCCTTCTCTGCACGCACTTTCTCCTCGGCCCAGTTACCTATTATCTTCAGACCTCAACTCAAGCATCACCTCATAAGGAACCCTCCTGACAGGTCACCAGCATGAAAGCAAGGTCACAGCTGTGACTTTACATCTGTGCGATTATTACGTCTACTGTCACGCTAGACTGTAAATTTTATAAATACAAGGGTCATGTCTATTTTTACTAATCTTTGAATCTCCAGCACCTATGCAGTGCCCAGCACATAGTGAGAGTATAATATTTAATAAATAAACGAATGAACCAACAAAATCAGGGAACATGTTTGGGAAAACATCACATTAAGTACTCTTCAAACTGTGCTTTTAAGAAGGCTTCTAACTCCACCTCAAAGACTTAAAGGTGTTCAAACTGCTGGACAGGGTATGTGTCTATGTCCAGGAAAGACCTACCCAAGTTTTCCCGAATCTCCCTTGGGGATTAACCAGGCAAAATTAGAAATCTGGAGTTTATTTTAAGTATCTGCTGAGGCTTCTCCATATGGGGAAGGAGGAGATGGCAGGAGTAGGAAATTATATTTCTTAGTATATTGGTCCACGGGGTCACAGGCAAGGGAGAGAGAAACGTGAGAACTTTAAGCGAACATATCAACGGTGTGTTAGGGAGAACTGCCCTCCTTCTAACATGCTACTGTGGTCTGTTTATGGGGGTTTTCCCCTGTGTAGGAGCCTCAAGGGTAGGGGTTTCTCTGTACGGTCACTGCTGAACCCCAGCACCTAAAGAACAGTGCCTGACGCAAGGCAGGCACCCAGAGACTTGTGGAATGAACCGAACAAACAAATGAGTAAGCAGATTAAAAGATTTATGTGTCAGGATCCATGTGAGACTGAGTGTCAGTTCTACATTTTTTGTGGCTAAATCATTTTGGAGGCCAATATGAGGAAGTACAGCAAAAGGAACCCAGTGCTCGCTGCTCTGTCATAATGTGACGGAAGAGAATGCCAAAGGAGGGGTCTTAGAGACACTGGCTCTCAACTAGGGTTGGATTCTTAGGAACAGGCAGGTAGAAAGCATTACTCTAAAAAGCAAAGGTCCTAACCATGGGTGCAAAAGAATTTTACTGCGACTAACGTGACTATTTACTCTGAAGGTTATATTTCAAGTAGGAGCAAGAGGCTCACAGTTGGGCCACACATGAAAAGGGGAGCCTCCAATATCTCCCCATCTATGGGAGATCCTGTTTGTTATCATCTGTTTAAAGAGACCAGGAAACTCAGGTAACCATTGCCAATCTAGGAATCAAATCTCAATGGCCTTGGGGTAGAGAGATTGAAAAGGGGTGCTCTGACACTGCTAATGTAGGAGCTGGGCACCAGTGCATGACAGGATGGAAGCCCTATGTCAGGAAGGGCCATGCCAGGGCCTGGAGGGAGAATAAAACATTAGTAGGAAAGGAGCAGTTGCGGAGAGCCAGCACCAAAAAAAAGACTGGTGCTCAGGTGGGAAAAAGGGAGGTAGGGACTTGGGCAGAGCCTCTATTTCCTGAGAGAGGAGAAGGAACCTTACCCCAGGGACTAGAGCCAAGAGCTTTGGAGAGCTCAAACAAGGGGGGATGACAAAAACCAACAGCATAGAAGACAAAGGGAAGAAGGTCATGCAGTAGCATCTGGTCAGCAACCCGCAAAGTTCACAGGGTGCATGTGGTCCCAGAGCAGCAGAGCTGTCAGTCAGCCAGCAGGGGGGAGAAGAACAGGATTCCTGATTTCCCACCTGTCTAAATTCCAGTAGATCCAAGGCCCTGGCATAACTTGGAGAAAGGTCACAGATCATCTCCCAAGTCCAGCAGATTGAGCAGCCAACTTTTAGGGTGGGCTGAATTAAAAACAGATTCCTAAAAGTTATGTGAGTTTCAGCCCCAAACATCATGTGATAAAGACAGCCCTGGAATTCCTGAAGAAATGCTGCTAATGCAGGGGGCTTACTTTCACAGAGCCTTGGCAGGTCGTTTGGCCCAAATTTCTACTTCATGCTTGACTATGTCCAAAGACAAGAAACTCAATTCTTCTAAGTGTGTGGTTCATGTTTGGAGCTCTTAGACTTAGAAAGTTCTTCCTGTGCTAGAGTCAAATCCTATCCAGAAGCTGTCAGAGCCAACAGAAATAGGTTTAATCCATTTTCTACAGGACCCCACTTCAAATACAAGCAGTGCTCCCACGGCAAGTCCCTACCGAGTCTTCTCTTCTCCAGGCTAAATACGTCCAGTTCCTTTAACCACTCCTTGAATGACAGGTTCTGAGTCCCCCTCACCATCTACTGTCTTCTGAAAGTCATCTATTTGTCTATGTGCCTCTTAAAGGGTAGCGCCTGGAATGGAACACATTTATGTGTTGTTACCTGGTAAGCTTATAGTGGGGTGAGACCTTTAACAGCTCCTTAGGTCACACATTATGTGGTCACATGTAGCCTTGGGGCAGCAGCATCATACTGTTTAATTTTACTGGACATATTCAGAATTTTGATTACTCAGAGTGGGCTCTGTAGTCAAACTGCCTGGATTCATATTCTGGCTTCCCCATTTATTGTCTGACTTCACTCAACATTTCTATGCTTCAGTGTCCTTATCTGTAAAGGAGATAATAACAGTACCTCTTTCATAGGGTTGTTTGAGTATGATAAGAAAGTTACCTATATTTTAGTAATTATTACACTCTAATTATTACATTCAGTGTTAACTGTTATTATTACGCCCTATTCCTCCAGTCCACATTTATACAGTTGGGTCCTCTCAAGTGGAAGACCTCAGTTATCTGTATTTAATTTCATCCTCTTATATTCTGGCCTCGCAGGATCTTTATGAAGCTTATTTTAGGATCACTGTTATCTGCTATCTCTCCCTTCATGGCTATCACTTACCCATTTGATAAGTACGCCTTGTCACCCTTCATCTAAGTCATTAATAAAAATGTTTAACTGGGCTGAGTCGAGACAAAACCCAGTGGATATCCACTGGAAATTTCTCTCAGGGTGATGGCAATCCATTTTGCAGCACCTTATGGATCCGGCATTCAATTAGTTGTGAATTACTATACTGAAACTACATCTAGCTCCTAATCTTTTTATTGTTTGCATGAAAATAGATCTGTACAATTACTCAACATCTAGCATATCCTCACTGTCATAAAACAATAATTCTAACAGCTACTGTTTACTGCACACATACTGTGTGGGGGACAATAACCCTGACACACTAGTATTATTACCCACATTTTAGGTGGTGAAGAGATTGAGGTTAAACTGGCAGCAGAGCTGGGAAGTGAACCCAGGCAGACATGCTGTTAAGACCCCTGATCTACTGGCATCTAAGAGATGAGTATGACTGAACTTACTCTTAGTGAATCCATGCTGGCTGTGGGTACACGGTTTCCTTTCCAAAGTGCTCAGAAATCATCTCTTTAGAAATCCTTTCTAGAACCTTACTCAGGTATAACATCAAGCTCCAAGCTCCACCAGCCTCTCTGGGGAATCTACCTTCTTTTACTCTGGAAAATTGGAAATATATTCGTTGGCCTTCTGACACCCCTCCCAGCTCCTTAATGCCTCAAAAAAAAAAAAAAAGAAAAGAAAAGAAAAGAAAAAAATCGCTAACAAATATTGGACACATTTAAAGCAGGTAGTTTTCATTTCCTTTTAAGACTCAGCGCCTTTTCCAGGGCTTTAAATCCAGGGTTATGGGTGAACTGCATTTGTTTGAAAGCTTTTGTGCGCAGACTACATTCTCTGGGGAAGTAGCTCTGGTCACATTCTCAGAGGACAACAGGAACCAGGGATCTAGTCTCCTTTTCCACGATAAAAACAGTCTCTGCAAAGAGGACACCAGCAAAGCAGGAGAGGAGCAGCCCTCTTCCACCCGCATCGGCACCTCTGGTGCGAGGCTGAGAGACTGCCCCACTTACCCGTCTCGCTGCTCTGTGCAGCTTCTTCTAGGCAGGGTGAGGAGGTGGCTTTGGTCTGTTTGAAAGGTCTGGGCCTCTCTCATACACTGTCTTGGTTTTGGCCTCTCTCTTATTTCTTGAAGAGCTCTCTGTTCAGGGGCCTCTGTAACTAGCTCTCCCCTTTCTGTGTGATCAGGAGCAGCAGAGATACAGAAGCCAAGTCAGCTTCTCAATGCTCCCTCTTTTAGAGCTCATCCTTAGAACCCTATGTTGTTTTTTAATGTTTCCCTACTTCAAGGAGAGACGATTTGCCTTGCTCTGTCCAGTCTTTCCCTCTCTGGCTACTATGACCTGACAGGGTTGCTTTACCCACAGTGATTCCATTACTGCCATTTTTTTTTCTTTTTTGTGAGGAAGATTAGCCCTGAGATAACATCTGTTGCCAATCCTCCTCTTTTTGTTGAGGAAGATTGGCTCTGGGCTAACATCCGTGCCCATCTCCTTCCTTTATATGCAGGACGCCTGCCGCAGCATAGCTTGATAAGCAGTACGCAGGTCCATGCCCGCTATCCGAACCTGCAAACCCTGAGCCGCTGAAGCAGAGTGTATGAACTTAACCACTATGCCACTGGGCCAGGCTCCCATTACTGCCATTTTTCCCTTGGTGAGAATTTAACTCAAAGAAGCAACCCTAAGTGAGATGAAATTATCAGCAAGGCCAATCAAGATTTTGTCAGATACTGCAAGTCACATTTCTGGCATGTAGTTGGCACATCTCTCTCACTTTTTAGTCAATTTTGCCATCTGTGCTAGGAGCATGTCATCCCTGTCCTCCACATGGTCGGGTGGTCTGCTGCACCGTCCCACACACTGCTGCTCCTCTCTCCTCTTCCCCCACTGTCACGCTCCCAGAGTGTTGCCACTCTCACGCCCATGGCTTTTTTCCCACACAGGAGTATCTCTTCTTGACACAGGTGCTACTGTGTCAAGGGAGGTGCTACTAAACCTCCCTTCATGACAGGTCTGCTGCTTTTGAATGGGGCACAGCCTTCTACCACTAGGTCCTGTCCCACCAAGTGCAGTAATACCTACGACCTCATATTTACCACTCCATGTTGTAATCTCAAACTCATTTCATTGTGCTTTGTACACTGACCTATAGATATCTGAGGTCTTACCTAAGGCTTCCGAGATCTTCTGTAATGGTTTCAGGAAAATAAATCCCTACGTATCTCTCACACTCACTTTGTTCTCATTTAATGTGAAGCCCTCATAACCAGGCCCCCAGGCTTTCACCCTATTTTGAGGGTGTTCATTTGCTCAAGGGACATATTTTACCCAGAGACCAAGGCAGGTATTCATTATCTCAGGAGCTCTTTATAATCATAAAACTGAACCCTCACAAGAAAACTGACCACTTCTCACTGTAACGGTGTTCATGGTTTCTGAACACAGTAGTCTGCAGGTTAGTATACTAAACTCTGATCATATTAAAATAGCAGTTCTAAATATTCTTACGAAGTTAGACATTTTATATAAGGGAATGCAACATATAAAGGCTTTCTCTCATTGTGAAAAACACTAATAGAGATTACTGCTTTATTTATATACCTTAAACAGCACAGAACCTTGCAATTCAAAACACAACTGTCCATGTTATATAGTGGTATCACACCACATGTGTATTTAATTTACACAAATATACAACAGAGAGATAAGGTGGACAGGGGAGGGAGAATACATAATACTTTGAATAGTAATTCTGCCCCCTCCCCCCATTTAATAAGCAAGCTCTGGCATGAGCATGAGATGGGAGAGGTAAGTCTATTGTTCCCTCAGCGATGTCCACAATGTGGAAACTTGTCCTAAATGTGGTTCGAGTATTTAAAGATACGTGTATTCCAAATTAATGTAGTCCTGACAAGAAGCTAACTACTTCATCTGGTGCTTGACCAAAGAAACCACAGCGTGTTGCGACAAAGGAGCAAAACCCGGTTGTCAGAGGTACCGTACATCTATTTACCGTACTTGATGGGTAACTGAAGAGAAAAGTGTATTTTTGACCACACAGGACTTCTGCCTTTTAGACAGATGTTAGAATCTAACTTTTCCACCCTTTTTAAGCTGTGATTCTACCACATATACCTAAGTCACAGACACACATATAAAATATATCTTCTCTCTTCCCGCTAGAGGGCAGCCGTGTATAGTCTAGGAGGTAGAGAGGGTTTAGGAAAAACAGCACACCTGTTAGTCTGACTTATAAGTATATTTAGAGTTCTATAGTTTTTATGTTACCTTGAATGTGGCAAATGCATCTGAAGCTATGTCAAATGTTGACATTTCGACATATCTGAAGAAATCGTAAAACTGTTCTGACCACAAAATGATTTTTGCAAGTGGTTCATGTCTGATGCATTCTCTTAACATTATTCCACAATTTAGAGCTATTTCTGGAGATTCATACCTGCAAAAAGAAAAAACAAACACGGCTGCTCTTTGAAAACTCCAACACTGAACAGTTCACATTTTTAGAACAGGAAGTTGTAGACATGTCCTAAGTGACCAGATCAGGTTACAAATGGCGTCTCTCTCACACAGAATATGTGCTCAGGTGGGTTTACTTTGGAGGGGACACACACACACACACACACACACACACATTGATGATGACTGTTTTAACCCAAAGAAAAACCAACAGCCACAAAAGCAATCGTTGTGAATAAAAGTTCATTATTTAAAGCTAAAAGATTTGAAGAGAAGTATTTAGGGTCACACCTCCAAATAGGAGTTAGTTTTACATGTGGTGCTCTCAACACTTCAGAAAAACTGAAGGCTGAATCAAAAAACAACATGAAACAAAATAGTTTTTCAAATTCACAGCATCTAAACACATCTATCAAAAACACAGCATTTATAGTTCGTTGTCTCAATTCAATACTCCAAATAGCGCTTTCAAGACTCTTGGCGACATGTAAACTCTACGAAGCTGAAAGCCTGGCCTTGAAGGCTTCACAAAGTGCCTCATCCAGGACAGCCCTAAAGACTCTCACAGGGGTACAGGGGACCCCTGGCATCAGTTCTCCACACACAGCCTTCCTCTACACCCATCTCCGCATCTCTCGCCTCTCTGTCCCCTGCGTTCAGAAAGAAAACCTCGTTTCCTCTCAGCTAAGTGGCCTTTTCCCTTCTGATATGCACCAACCTCTCAGGCTGGACTCTGCCATTCTGCTCAAACACATCGCTCTCTTTTCCTCCACTGCCCTTCAAGCTGCACACAGTGGTTTAATGTCTTTGCCACTCACAGTCTCCTCTAGTCTCCTGCAATCAAATTGCATTTCCCAACATTCTACTAGCAAAGATTTCCTCTTGGCTAAAACAAAAGGTCTTTTCTGATAACATAAATTCTACTACATAGTCTCTTGACAGTGCTGATCTTTGCATCTCTCTTTAAAAAGAGAAAGAAAACCTCTCCCAGTTTTACTCCTCTGATTGTTCCTAGTTCTTGCCAGGCTGATGTCTTTCCTCCGTTGCCCCAGCCTGTGAATGAACGCTCATACCATCTCCTGGCTCCAGGAGTCCTAAATGTCCCTCGCTCAGGTCTACTCCTGAACTATGTCAGGCATCTTCCGTGGCCTCTGGACAACTTCAGGAAAAGGTCTAACCACAAACTCTGTCTAAAATCAAATCTTATCTCCCTCCACAAGCCAGCCCCGCTCCCCTGCTTCCTCATTTCTATGATTTGGCATCACTATTTTGTTTCAGATACCCGGCTCTAAAATGGGTCTAACAGAACTTTCTTTGATAACGGAAATGTTCTATATCTGTGCTGGCCATTATGGTAGCTACTAGCCACATGTGGCTACTGAGCACTTGAAATTTGGGAAGTGTGACTGAGAGATTGAATTTTAAATGTTACTTCATTTATAATTAAATAATTACTCGTGGTTAGCAGGTACTGTATTGGACAGCACAGTGCTAAACCTTCCCCTCTTTACTCCCAATCTACCCATCTTCAGTGTCACCAGTCCTTTGAAACACCTTAGTTTCATTTCCTTTTATCCATTCCCACTGCTGCATTAACTCACACCTAAAGAACTGCAAGTGTCCCCTAACCAGCCTCTCTGTTCAGGCCCTGTCTTAACAAATCTACAAAATCTACACTGACATACAAGTATATCAAAAGCATTTCCAGCTTAGGAGCTTAAAATGATTTCTTCTTGCTAAGCAGATAAAGACAAACTTCTGGGCTTCATGTCCAGGCCTCATCAGACCCACTCCTCTGGTACTGCGCCCTTTCCCATTCTGCCATAAAACGTTCCCATTATCTCCTTATTGTTGCCAATCACTGTGTTCATTCCTGCCCCTGTACCTACTCTCTTTTTCCTGCCTGTGCAAATGCTAAACCATCTGGAACTTCAATCTTAAGTCCCATCTCTGGTACTGACCCTTGCCTTGTTGACTAAACCCTCATGTATCCCCTGAAATCCTACAGTATAGTTGGCTAGTAGAATTATCCTTTTGTTGTACCTATGCTCATCACAGATCCTCAACGAGATCAAAATGCCGTTCCTTTATATCACCCATGGCATGGCAGTTAGAACGCTGACTGGTTCTTAGGTGATTAAAATGTCTGCTCACAAAATGGCTGATCATACAATTCATTTTTTCTGATCTTTAATAGGCAGAGACTAGGAAGACAAGGGTAAGACAGTTTGGTACAACAAGTTGGGCAGGTTTTGATGGCAGTTTGTCAAGCTTGTCTTAAACGATTAAACCATAAACCAATAAGTACAAGGCAAACAGTTATGCTGTACAACGTGTTAGCACTAGAGTGGAGAGCCCATTAACATTTAAATCGCCAGCGAAAAAACGATTGCTTCCTGATGCAGTCTAACACTAGCAACAAGATTATTTCCAAATGCATATTAATACTGGCAGCATAACTCCCCCGAATGTATAACATCAAACTACATATAGCCTGAGCAGATAGTCACCTTGCATGAAAGGAGTCTAATTAATCAACAAAAGTACAAAAATCTTAAAAGGTAGTTCACAGGGCTCCTTGAGGAATGGCTGTTTCCAGGTCTGAGGTACATACAAAATGAGCAAGGGACATCTTATGCCAGAAAGCAAGGAAGCTATCAAAGGCTAATGGGGTCTTGCCAAAAGGTCACGGACTCCCAAGGGCCTGAACGGGACAATTTGGACATAATGAACGCAAATGACTAGATGGAGACACATCAAATATTTAAAAAAAACCCAAAACTTGAGTTCATAGTGATGCTCAAAACAATAACACTCATGGCTCATCTATGGAAGTGGCTAGGGCACCAACTGATTATACAAAAAATGATAAAGTGAAAGAATCAAGCGTTTATTCTGTCTTTCCCAAACAGATTGTATTTTAGGATAACTAAGTCATTGATGAGGAAAGAAACACACTTAATATACAGAAAAGGAACAACAGAATTAGGAAATCGCTATTTGAATCTAGGCAGTGATCTCAGGGGATACTAAAACCATCAGGGGAAGTGTCCATGGAGAACTTCATGATGACGGACTAGACCGACAACACCTGCGTCCACTGATCAATCTGAACATCATCAGAAGTACGACAAGTAGTGTTGCCCAACAGGAAGTCCACAGTACCATCCATGAAGAATTCTCACCCCCCAAAACTGAATCTGAATCTAATCAAACCTTTAGACCTGAGCACTAATTTAAAAGAACAGAGGATAGAGGAACACATTACATGTGAAACCACAGGGATGCAAATCCAAAATATGTGATTTTTCTACAAAACAAAGGACCCAGTTGCTTCAACAAATAAACAGTATTAAACAAAACAAAAAGAGGGAGCAAGAACTATTCCACATTAAAAGAGAGTTTAAGAGTCCTATCAGGCCGGCCCCGTGGCTTGGTGGGTGGGTGCGCGCGCTCCGATGCTGGTGGCCCAGGTTCGGATCCCGGGCGTGCACCGAGGCGCCACTTCTCCGTCCATCCTGAGGCCGAGTCCCACATGCAGCGACTGGAAGGATGTGCAGCTATGACATACAACTGTCTACTGGGGCTTTGGGGGGAAAAAATAAATAAATAAAATCTTTAAAAAAAAAAAAAAAAAAAAAAAAAGAGTCCTATCAACCAAATTCAGTTTGTGGACCTTACTTAGAACCTGATTTAAACAAACTAACTGAAAAATGGCATTTTTTGTGAGAATCAAAGAAATCCGAACATTCACCGGGCATTAGATAATGTTTAAAAAAATGGTATTGTGATTGTTAAAAAATCCTGTATGTATTATGTACTGAAGTGATGTTCTGTGTGAGGAACAAAAAAAAGAGGCAAGGAACAGACGAAATGACGACAGAATGTTCATCATTGTTGAAGCTTGGTGATGGGTAGGAAAGGGTTTGTTACACTATTCCCTCGAGTTTTATGTATATTTTCCACAATAAAAGCTAAAAAGGGTGGCGGAGGGGGTCCTGTTGGATCCCAGCACCAGAGGCATTCTCCAGGCTTCTCCCTGCTCCTCCTCGCTGAGGCTTCTGCTCTGGCCAGCTCAGAGGAGAGCTTTCAACCTTTTCTCTCAATTGTATCTCCCAAGTCTTACTTTACATGACATTTAACAATGTTCTTATCATACCCCTGGCGACTCTAAAGTGAAAACATAGGCAGAGTTAACTAATTTATGAATATTAATAACCACTGCTTTCCATGGAAAAGGAAATATTGGCTTTAAAAATATACAAACGCATCTGGAGGCTGCTCTAACAACGCCAAAATTTCAGACTACTCACTACATGTTTACACACGCACTCTAGATTGATACAACAAAAATTAGATGCCAGAAGTTCTGTATGGCAACATCTGAAGAAGCAACATAGATAGTTAGAAATAGAAAGAAGGAAATAGAATACTGGCATCCAACACACGCACTGACTCACACTTTGTCTAAACAAGTTTGAACTTGGGGGAAGTGTTAAACCACAGAGATATGAATCAGAGTGAGGCAAGCTATAAACCCAGGGGCAAGAGAGCAAGCTGATTCACGCCAACAGCCGTGCCAGGAAAACGCTCGCCCGCCAATTTAATAGAACCCCACCAATGCTGGGACAAACAGATGCTCACCGTACCTAGAGCCGGCCAACGCTCTGCTGTGAAACAACAGGAGGTTACCTTACCAATCAGAGAGGCTCAATGATGAGGGATAAGAGGATTTGTTTTTTTTAAGTTTTAGTTTTCACGCTTTTTTGGGTTTTGTTTGATTTTTTTTTTTTTTTTTTTGAAACTGACAGACTACCCAAACATAAATGCCTGCTTAGTCCAACAGTAATTCCAGGAAGATGCACTGTGAATTACTAAATTAAGTGGGTGAGTGAGTGGACACACACAGGTAAAAAGTCTACTTCATAAACATGGACTTTGTTGACTGAAGCTATATAGCAGCCAAGCTCCATTTACTAGGCAGCGTTCATTGCCCCACAGTGTGCATGTATGTCCAAAGAAGATGTCTTTAAATACATGCGTTAACTGATATTTCGTACAATTAAACTTTTTAAATCTTAGAAAACAGAAATAAGACCACAAAGGACTTATTTTTTCTTCAGTCATTTGTGATTTGAGAATTTGAAGGTTCACAATTCACCTACCTTTAAACTCCCCTGGGCATTTTCAAATTCAATTTAGCTCACAGGTTGAATTTTAAGGAGGGAAATACGTTCAAGATCCACGGAAAAATGAGCTGACCAAACTATAGAGAAAATGCTTTCCCACAGTCGCCATCTTATTTTTGCCCAAGACCATCCTTCCTTTTTATATTTTAACTGAAAATATAAATTTTAGTACATTGTACATACCCTTTCAATAACATGAACAAAATATTCTGTTGGGTGCAGATGTATTCAACAGTAGGAGTTCTTGTACCAATTTGTCTTCTGAGAATATTGTTGAAAATTTGAGCCACGTCTTTTTTGCCCTATTAGGAATACAATCATTAAAATATTTACCTGACTAAACATCAAAATGCCCATCCACCCTCCCAAATAAACTTAAATCATGGCATTGCAGATTTCTAATTATGACTGAATATCTGACTTGAAAATGTTCATAGACATTAAATTTTCTTATTTTATTTCTTCATTTATAATTGCAAATTCTAAGTTTTAATAGTATACTATTTTTAACATGAACAGTGCATTGATGAAGTGAAATCCTACTACATATAATTTCAACAATTTCTAACTCTGAGAATCATGCTGACTCAGACATGAAAAACAAAACCTTTGCTATATGCTTACAATGTTCAGGGATCTGATTCCCACCCAAATGGAACAAGCAGTTTCAAATAGGATGCTGTATTGTAAACAATCGTATACTTTCCTTCTACAGTGATGGAAGGAGAAGAAGCTGTACTCTGCTAGTAACATAAAAAGAATTTTGTAAGAAGCTGAGCTTTAATGGCAAGTAGACATATCCTCCTATTAAGCTAGGCCTACTTAGGAAAGACTTTATATAGATAAATAATGAAGGTACTAAGTATCACATGATGCAGCAGTTCAGCGATCAGAACTTAATTACACCACTGTACTTTACTAAACAAAACAGCTGGACATCACCACCATACAATGAATCTTATAATCGGAAAGCTGCACAAGAAATTAACAAATGGAGAACTGGACCCCAGAGATGTTTCAGAATGGCCACTTGTTATGAGGCTAACAAGCCTGCAGGAGAGTGAGTGAAATGCTAGTTTTCCAGCACCAGAGATCATCCTGGGGCCCAGGCTAGGTCAGGAGAAGTATGGCAATCTCTAATAACCAGTCTCAAGGTCACATACTTCTTTTAAATTTATGTCTCTAAAGTCCCAAATGAATACTAAATTCAGTGTCCAGGCTGGGGAGTGGGATGGGTGGACAAAGGAGAAAGAACTAGATGTTCCAGTACATTCCCAACATTGCAGAGGAAATAAAAATTGTTGTTGTTGGAATTTGATACACTATTAAAAATACATGATATCAGCATCATAAATGGAAATATCAGTATTATCTGGATCTATCTAGGATAGAAATAAATTTTAATTCTCTTTTATTATCAATATTACGTTCAAGTAACCTATGAACCACACCCTCCCATCCCTTTCCAAAAGTGAATCTGGCTATACGTCTGTCATTTTCTCCCATGGTTTTTCAAGCACCTGCACAGACATCCAATCACTCAGGATGATAAACACTGGGGCTTAAAACAAAGCACACCCACGACAAAGAACCAGAGAGGAGACTGTTCATGACCATGCCAGAGCCCTTCACTACCATATATGCTTCTCAGACTAGTTTACTCAGACTGGTATCAAGAACCATTATTCTCCCTGTTAAATTCACTAAACATCTAACACGGCATGATCTGACTGTATAAGCTTGGGCGACAATCTCAAATACCTACCAAGGTCAGGCAGGAGATGCAGATGGGTAAAGCAGGCCCTGAGATAGAAAAGCAAGCTGTGCCGTCTACAGCACATCCACCAGGGGTGCCCTGCATCATGGAGTAGCTGCTACTCTGCTCCAGCTCAGGGGCCACATAGGACTACAGGCCCAATGTTGCCAGAGTCAAATTTTTCAAAAGAAGCCAGAAATTCAAAATTGTGTATATAATCTCCCACTATTTAAATGTTATCCTAATTTAAACATTTAAAAGCAGTGCCAAGCAAACAAAATACATATGATCTCTGCTGTAAGGAGTTCTCAACAGGTAAAAAGATCAAGATATAACTGGATGTTCTCTAAGATCTCATCTACCTCGAAAATTCTAACCTTCTATGGTCTTGTTTAGATTGTTTATTCCTTGAGAGCCAAGGACCAGCAAATTACGTAAACAGCAACTGTTTATTAAATACAACCTAAATGAAAGGGCACAACGAACACCTGAGAAACGTCACATACGATGTGGTGAAGCAGGGAGAAGAAAACCAGCCTGACCTGAGACACCCTTGAGTCCCTGCCCCGGCTCCACCCATTAGGCAGGCAGCCCGGACATGCTTACTGACCTATAAGCTCCTCAGCCAGGAGCCCGGCAGGAATCTTAAGATGTTTCAAAGGAGAGAACACATGGAAAAGGACTATGAATAGGGTACTGTTTTTGAAAAACAAGAAATTGATTTCTTACCTCAAAGTCAATGAGCTGTAAGTCAGCGACCAGGGTGCTCAGGAGCCCACTATTATAGAGTTCTTGAGCGAGCTGTGCCACGGCTTCTGTCTGTGGCTCTTTTTCATTTGTGCCATACAGAATTTCTTTCATGGCAACCAGATTTTTGGAAACTTCTTCTGTAGCCTGAGTTTGGGGGAGAGGAGAAAAACAATTTTAACAAACAAATATAACACACCTACATTTGTTAAATACCTTCTCTATATATTATATACCCATGGACCTATTTACAAGACACTAAGGTGGGCAAGCTCCAGCCCTGCCCATGGGAGCTGAACACTGCATGGGTGTGTGCACATGTGGGGATTGACATACATGCTCAACAGGGAAGGCCAGCAGGTGCCCAACAAGCACACTTGAACACAGAAAACAATGTTTTATGGTAGAAACAGAAGGGAGAAAAGGTTCAATTCCTCCTCAAATGGGAGGGAAACATGGAAGAGGCACCTGAGTTGACCCTGAGAATGGAAAGACACTGACAAGTACCAGGGAAAAGGAGATACAGGGAAAAGGAATGGCTGAGCAGGGAACAGGGGAGAGCAAAAAGCACAAGGTCTGTCAGAGAAAAGGTGTGGAGGGAATAAGGAAGTGATAGCAGAAAATGAAGCTGAAAGAGGCTTTGAACGCAAAGCTAAAATGTTAGCAATAAATAAAAAGTCACTAAAGAGCTTCTGCTTCTGGCCAAGATGGAGGCACAGGTGCCAGATTTACTTTCCCCCATGAAAAAGATGGAAATGAACCTCACAATTGCCCTAGCTTCCTGCCTGGAGAGAATTTCCAGGCCACATCACAGGGAGGGGGAAGCCAGACAGAACAGGTGGTCTCCATGAGTTGAGGAGACAGATCTGGGAATCTGCAGAGGCCAAGGAGACTAGAATTTGCAGGGCAGAGTACCAGAGAGGAGAGAGCTCCAATGAAGAGAGGGTTAGAGATCTGCAAAGACTCACTTTGCTTCTTCAGCTGAGAACTGATAAGCATATGAATAGGAGAAAAGCACCCAAGGCCAGGAACAGAAGCACAGAACTCACACAAGGCTGGAAATAGTTCTCGTTCCCATCAACCTGATGGAAGACCTCCTATTCACAGGGCATCAAGCAGAGCACTCAAACAGTTTTGTCTCAGTCATTACACAAACTTAGCCCTAGACTAAACTCTGCTCTGGTCTATAAGCTTAAAAGCAAGCCTGGAAAGGATCAAAACTGGAAAACACAACCAATAATGAGGAGAAAAACCAATCAACAGCAAGAGCCCTGGAAATGACACAGATAAAATTATTAAACAAGGACATTAAAAGTTATTATCAGTATAGTCAGTATGTTCAGGAAAAAATGAGCATGTTAAGCAAAGGTATGGAAGACAAAAAAAAAGACCCAAATCAAATAGTCAGAAATAAAAACTACAATGTCTAAAAAATTAAACTGGATGGGATTAACAGCAGATTAGACACTGCAGAAAAAATAGTCAGTAAACATGAAGACAGAGCAATAACAACTATCCAAAATAAAACAGAGAGAGGGGGAAAAGAGATAACACATCAGTGAGCGGCAGGGTGACTGTAACCAGTCTAACGTGTGTAACTGCCAGCCCCACAGGAGGGGAAGGACAGACAAGGGATTTGAAGACAAGGTGGCTGAGCAATTTCCAAGTTTGATGAAAACTATAATCTTATGGAGCCAAGAAGTTCAAAAACCCTAAGCAAAAGAAACAGGAAGAAAACTACACCAAGGCATGAAATAATCAAATTGCTTAAATTCACTGAAGAGAAAATTTTAAAAGCAACCAGAGGGAAAAACCATTACAGATAAAGAATGAAAGAAGGACGACAGACTTCTTGACAGAACTGACACAAGTCAAAAGATAGTGGAGGAACATAAGGTTCTGGAAAAAAACCAAATTGTCATCTTAGAATCCTATACCTGGCAAAAATGTCATTCAGAAATGAAGGAGAAATAAAGAGTTTTTGAGACATACAAAAGCTGGAAGACTTCATCACCAGCAGACCTGATTACAGGAGATGTTTAAGGAAGTCCTATAGGCATAAGGAAAATGATTCAAGATGAAAATCTGTATATACACAAAGGAATGAAGAGCACTGGAGATATTGTGGGTAAATATAAAAGATTTTTTCCCTCTATTATTTTAACAAACGTCTTTAAAAGATAATTGGCTGTTTAAAGCATAAACAACCATGTATTCTGGGGTTATGACATTTGTAGAACAAAAATATGTGGTAATAATAGCTCAAAAGGGGGTAATGGAGTACAGTGTGGTAAAGGTCTTGTACATGAAGCAGTGTAATATTTCTTGAAGACAGACTGCAGTAAATTAAAGGTATATACTGTGAGTCCTAAAGGAACCACTAAAACTGCAAAACAAAGAGTTATAGCTAATAAACCAACAAAGGAGACTCAGTAGAACACTAAAGATATGTGAAAAATATCAAGGCTATAAAAAGCTATATAAACTGAAGTATTTATGACCAGAAATATACTTCATGGAGATTACTTAGCAGATTCACAGGACATCAGCATTTAATGGTACCTAAAGAATCACCTAGTTCCACGGTACTCCCTTTTACAACCTTCTAACCTTCTTACCAAACGATCCTATTGCTTCACCTTAAATATTTCCAGTGTCCAGTCATGCAGTATTAGCAGATTTCAGAATCAAATAGCAGTTAGAAAATTTTATAATGAGACAAACATTACCTCATGATAGTGTCTGCTGGTCCTGAGTCTGCACTGCAGATCAGGCAGTATCCTAACTTCCCTCCACATAAGGCTCCTCTTTGGAGGCAGCTTGCCTGTCTTCCCTCAACAGTCTTTTCCAGAAAACCTCCACTCAGCTTCTTTAACTATCCTCCTAAAAAGATATGGTTAATGTTCCAACCCTATCCAGAATGGAACGGTGCAGAAGACACTAGGCCACAGTTTCCCTACAACTGTCGCAAATGTCACCCAAGGTCACCTTTAAGAGTTTTTGCAATTATAGCATATAATTCATTCAAAGCCAGATCTTTGAATGACACTGCAATGAGGGCTTTAACTCTTCACACTATTTCATTTAATCTCATTAACAGCCCATCATTCAACACTGTGGAGGTATTTCTGGATTCTGAAGGACATCCAATATACCAGCTATTGCTCTCATATTTGTATCATTTGAAAATCTGATAGGTATGCCTCCCATGGCCTCAATCATTAACCAAAATGCTGAAAGGAAATAACTATGAATGGCGTCTATCATTATGCCTTTGACTCATCATGCTCTGTTCAGTAACCATCTACTAATCATCTTGGGGCATGGTTGCTCAGCCACTTACATATATACCTATTTCCAAATCATATTCAAAAGGTTTCTTGTTAAATACTTTGGTAAAATAAGAATATACTACCTCTTCCACATTTTCTGAATATAAGAAAATGAAGTAAAGTTAATTTGGTCCAACCTTTTTACTAAGCCTATGCTGATTTCTACTGACTACTACTTTCTTTTCTAAATGCTTATAGATCATCCTCCTAATAATCCCATTATGAAACCTTAATCAGTATCAATGTTAAGTGGAATCTTTTCCTTTTCCAGTCTGCTATTACTACCCTATTCTGTTAATGCCTCAGATTTCTGACGGTTTGTCATCCCATACACAAATTTTAAGTACCCCGGAATGTATTCAATTAATTTTTATTCTTAATTAATTTATTTTTATTCTTAAGATGATTCTCTGTGACAGGCAAGAATCTGACATTTGGTAGGTTTTCTGAGTGTGTCATCTGTTGATTTTATACCGGTGACCCTAAATCGTCAGCCTCAGCCTCCTTTGCTTCTCTGGCTCGATCAAAGTTTTGAGGCCCTTGGCAACCCTTTAGATGCCACAGTTTCTACTCTTCTTCGAAATCATGACATGATTGTAAATCTGAATTGAGACCATATTCCATGCTCTCTTCTGACAGCAAAAGACGAATACGAAGGGGGTGATAGCTAAAGGTATGGGGTTTGTTTTTGAGGCGATGAAATGTTCTAAAATTGACTGTGATTACAGTTGTACTTTGTGAATAAACTAAAACCCAGTGAACTGTACACTTTAAATGGGTTGACTGTATGATATTTAAGTTATATCTCAATAAAACTGTTTAAAAAAAAACAGGGAAGAGAGAAGCAAGGAAATGGAAAGCTATTTGGTACTTCTGAGATGAAAAGGAACCTGGATTCACATGTAAAGCCTTCCTCTTTCAGAAAATGACACTGTTACCTACATTACAGGTGGGGAGGAAACAATGATGAAATTCCTTCATCTGCTAACCATATTCATCTACCTATAACATATACCATATAATCCTCCCTGCTTTTGGATTCCACTCACATTCTGCCTTCTCAGAAACTCACCCTGTCTGTCATCTCCTTCCCATACAGTCAACTGCTCTCACTTTGTTTTCCCCTCATCAGTTTTAAATACGATCAAGACTCCCATTAACAAAATCAAATAAGCTCTCCCTTGACTCCACAACCCCCTCCCAGCTACTGCCGACCAATAATTAAACCTCTCAAAACATCCACTTGTGTTTGCTCTTCATTCTTCAGCCCAATCCCGTAAGGCTTCTACACCTAGTACTTTACAGCTCTTAGCCAGTCACCACTGACCTGCCTGCCATTAAACACAATTTTGCCTTCATCACATGTGAGCTCTTGGCAGCATATGACCTTGTTGATTACACCTTTCTTTTAAAACCGATCCTCCCTTGTCCTCTGTGACTCACTACCACCCTAATGTTTTCCTTCCTGTCTCCCTGGTTGCTCCTCTGTATCCTACCCCGCTCATCCTCCTTGACTAGGCCATTTAGATATTGGGAATTCCTCAAGGCAGGGTACAAGGCCCTCTTCTCCCTCTATCATCTCTCCCTAAGTGATCTCATCCACGCCCACAGCTTTAATTAACACCTAAATGCAGATGCCTCACAGATTCCTATCTCTAATCCAGTTCTCTTACTAGTACATTCAGAAGCCTACTGGAAATGTCTTCACTTGGATGTCTCAAGGCACCTCAAACCTCAAACCTAACGGATCTAAGACAGAACTTGGGAGCCTGCCCAGATGTCTGCTATTCTGCCCTTGTTCTGTTTCAGGGGATG